CTCTCTCTCTCTCTCTCTCTCTCTCTCTCTCTCTCTCTCTCTCTCTCTCTCTCTCTCTCTCTCTCTCTCTCTGTGTGTGTATGTATCTGGTGGACGCGCACATGCGCGCCCCGTTTTTCAAACCAATCGGAACAGATACCTCACTTGATCGTCATCGTCGTCGTCGTTTTTGGGGGCGGGTTAGTTAGTTTAGGGTCTCTCTCCCTCTCTCTCTCTCTCTCTCTCTCTCTCTGATTGGAACAGATACTACACTTGATCGTCGTTGTTGTTTTGGGGGGCGGGGTAGTTAGTTAGGTTCGGGCCTCTCTCTCTCTCTCTCTCTCTGAGGGAAAGCAGAAGGGGGGACCGGCGGCAGAGGAGCGAAGAGTGGCAGATATCGCAGGACACGCAGATTTGGAGCGGTGGAGAGCGGAGGAGGGTCGGCGGAAGTCAGGGGGAGAGGGCGGAGGAAGCAGGGAGAAGTGTACTGACCTGTGTCTGCCATCTTCGACCGGCATTCAGGCGTTGTTGATGCAGAACTCCGAACGGCCAACCACAGGCGAGCGAACGAGAGAGAGCCACAGCTTACAGCACCAAAGGCCAACCACAGGAGAGAGAGAGAGAGAGAGAGAGAGAGAGAGAGACAGAGAGAGAGAGAGCTTCACAACTTCACAACAGGGCGCACTGTGTGCTTCACGACAACAGCACAAGCACGACAACACCAAATACAATGGACCGAGGGCGCTGCACGACAATGGCCAGTCCAACGGGAAAGTTGGGTTGACCCGACGTCGCAAACTCCGGTAGTGCCCCACGGCACTCGGCGCGTCTATCTGAGCCGTCGGCCCGGACCAACGGCCTGGATCTCGGCGCGGTCCTAAGATCTTAAGACCGCATCTATCTAGGCCGTCGGTCTGGTAGGGCCCGACGGCCCAGATGGCAGATTTGTTACATGGTTCAGTCGATCTGGGCCCTGGGCCGGTAGGACCGACGACGGCCGGGATTTCAGATTTGTCACATTAGCGATTTTAATAGTGTAGGGATGTCACTTGCCTAGGGGATTAGCTACCTGTTGCGCTAACCAGGTTCCGAAACCCATTGCTCATTTCCTCAAATTCTTTCATACTATTGCTATTCTTGTTCACACCAACTTGTCATCTGAAATCATTGATATCTCATGTCGGTATTGTCGTTCAGTTTGCAATCAGACTCGCTTTCTTCTTACTTCGCATGCATGTAAACAGATGGCAAATCACTCTGGCGTCAAACGCCCACACACAGCTCAGAGATATTCAAGTCCAGAGCACAGGTTGGATACAAACTCACTCCCAACTCTTACAGCCAACACCGCACTCAAAATGTTTACACACACACACACACAACTCACACTGGATCTCCCTGGATATCCCATGTACCCACACGCTCACTGCACACGTACACACACAAGCGCTGATCGCTACTCTTCCTATCACAGCGATGGATGCCCTCTACCATCAACTCAACTAGCAGCTATGTCCGTTCTAACTCTCCAACTGCCCACTTCACTTCGGGCTTTCTGCAGACCACCTAGCACATGGCAGTGCTTCCGCTTGGGTCACAGCAGAATGAATGAATTGCTGGACGCTGCCTCTTGATTTATACTTCTGTTGGCCGCTGGTCTGCCCCTTTCCACCAGGCCCTTGGTGCACACAGTCCCACACGGTACTTGCTTGACTGGACTAAGTGTGACTGGGACCAGCACCGCTGACTGAACGGGGTTGCACTGCCGACTCGACGTAGTTGGACTTACGACTTGCCTACAGACCTCTAGCCTAGCAGTTTCGATTTCTACACAGCTGTAACCCCTAGTTGACAGATCTACAGATCGAACCCCTACCGCTACAGGGACCTACGACAAACAACAAAACACAGGTCGCGGGCTCAAAACACTCAGGGGTCTACTCGATACTGTACACGGGTGCAGGTATGGTCTAGGGATCAAACCCTGGGATCTGCATCTGCTTCTGCAAAGGTGAAAACTTTTTCAAGTTTAGGGCTTTAAGCATTGTGAACTTGAGTCACTAAAAGTATAGCAATCTTTCTCATTTCACTGACATATATTGCAGGAACGGAGAAGCTTCGGAGGAAAAGAACGTACTGCCAAAAATGTGTGTGCCCAAACAGGAAGGTTAGCAAGAAAGGGAAATCTGAAAGGCAACGGCACACACACCTTATATGCATAACGCATGTCATTATCCGACGAGAATTCTATAAATGCGTACCGCCGCGAAGCTCCCGTCACTACAATGCAAGGCATTGGAAAAGCAAAATGGTCACAGAACAGAAACACACAAAGGGTCACACTGCGAAAAGCCATGCACATCTGCTAGATATTGCATCAAGTCGCACATGTCTGGAATGCAAACCCAAAGCACCTGTAAATGCCTGGCTCCCAAATTTCTAACCTTCATGCTGTTTACGCTCACAAATAGCCTTATTGGCCAGGTTGCAATTCCTACAGACATTGAGACAAATGTCCGATGACATCATTTCCCAAGGAACAATCTACCTGATACTCTGTTAGAAGGGTCTGAGCTCCTACGCCTCCCCCCCCCCCCCCCCCCCCCCCCCCCCCCCCCCCCAAAAAAAAAAAAAACGATGCTTCCTCCTCATGCACCGTTCTGACTCTTGAGGTAGGAAAGGTACACTCGGGAGCCGGGTAATATTCACAACTTTACCAACCAGTTCTGGTCTCAATCGCTGTCAGATGCATACAGGAAAGTCCCTACAATGTATGGTCATCATAGCTGTATTTAGACTGAAATATATCCGGAATACAGCTATAACGACCGTACGTTGTATTCGGGGGAAGAAGGTAGTGTGAGAATGCGAATGCCCTGAAAGACTAAATAGTAAATACTAAACTGGTTGCCATTGCAAGATGGTTATTCAATCAAGCATCAATCCACCACCAATCTATCCCACCCAACCAAGACGAGTTTATCGATGGTCTTGTGAATGGCTAACAAATAGCCACTTCACCAAGCATTATCCAAGGTACATTCAGTACAGGAATAGATACTGAAAGCAGAAATGGTACTCTCCACCGCCCGCAGAGGCCTAAGCACATTCTACTTCAACCACCAATCTATCCCCCGACCAAAGCGAGTTTATGGATGGCCTTGCGAATGACTAACAAATAGCCGCTTCACCGAGCCAAGGTACATTCCCTACAGGAGTAGATACTGAAAGCAGGAATGGTACCCTCCACCACCCGCAGAGGCCAAAGTACATTCTACTCCAACCATGACACCAGAATTCACACGGGAACGTAACCGGTACTGGCAAGTTCCAGCTTCTCACCGGTTTATCCTTTCACGAAGGGAAAAGCACTGGCAAGATCAAACTTCCATCCAGTCGTATTATTCTCGTATATGGGCCTTACCGATATCACGGATCAGCCTCACTCTTCGGATGCGCCCGTACCTGCTGAACACCTTCGCAATAAAAGATTGGCACAAGACAAGATACCAGAATGGCCACACAACCCGTCAGCAACCACACTTCAACCGTCCAAACACAGAAGTACAGCAACAGGACTGCTCAGTGCAGCTCTGTCGGCAGAACAGAAAGTGAACGCTGCATGAGCAGAGGGAAGAAATGCGTCATACGAAGTGCAGATATATCCCAGACATCTCTGACTGCCAGTTTTCAGGCCAATGACGAACACGACATAAGCGATTGAGGTTCATTACCATTACGGCATGTCGATGTGTACCCAACATGAGAGCACATGTGTTCTGCAGTGTGTTTGGCAATCAAAAAGCATACAGACCGGTGCAAGGAGGGTTCACGATGTTGGGTTTACAAATGCAAGGGTCGACGAGTTTAAGATCATGTCCCGATTCATTCGATTTCTGATGAACAAGATATGCGCAAAATCAGAGGATTAACTTTTTTTCACCTTATGCTATGATGCTAATATAACTGTCTTTAATTGGACCTATCAGGGAGTCATCCACATGGCAAACCCGCCGTATTTACCCGAAGACAACGCCCAGTCATTATTGCTGCATCTGGACTGAACGTTGCCCCAACTACAGCTATAATGACCAGGTGTTCCATTCGGGTGAAAGCGGTAGTGAATTCGAATAACTCCAGCAAGCCAAGCGTTTTGCAGGCTTCTCTTCCATTGACCCCCGGGATCTTCGCAATGAGCCCCTTTTTCCCTGCAATCTGAGGTGGTGATTGCCCTCTCTATTGCCAACCATCTGCTTTCCTTTTATAACCGGGAATCCTAGAAAGAGATTCACTCCAGTCCAGAAAGGAGCAGGTTAGACAAAGGCTAGGAGGTTCTGAGGAAGGGGAGGAGGTCCATTTTTATCACAGAAAAACTCAGAGAAATGGAAGGAGTTACCAGCAAGATGAGCGAGTTGCGAAGAGGAACAGAAAGTACATTCAAAGAAAACAGGGAAGAGACAGAGAGATGGAGATAAGCCGAGTTCAGACAACGGATGCATGATATACAGGGATGCTGAGCTTTGGAAGGGCCAGAGGAAATTTGAAGATTCCCAGGATCAGTGGGAGGCAAGGATGTCTACCTTTGGGTTTAGTACTTGTTTTTTTTATGGCTCCACAGCAGTAGCAAAGACATTTGGTTAGTAATAGAAAGTCACTGCTGATGCTGTTTGGAGGTGTGGAATGGGGTTCGGAAGGAAGGTTTGAAAAATGTGTTGGATCAACTTGGATGGGGTTTACAGATAACAACTTAAAAAAAAAGAAGGGCTGGGAAGAGGGTCGAGGACAGACGGGAAGATTCCCAGAAAGAGAGGGATGACAGCAGGGAGTAGCCTGGAAACAGATCGGGAAGAGGTTTGCAGTCGACCGGGTTCGCAGAACTGTCTGAAAGGAGATCCTGTGATTTTAACGCTCGGCGAAGAGAGGGGGGATCTCTAATCTCGCAAGGCCATAGCTTGAGAGAATAATAAAACGAGACCTTCAGATCAAGACGGAGGTTCAATGATGGCATGATTTGAAAAGGTAAGAGGAGATTCAGAGATGGCGAGAGAGGTTTGAATAAGGTTCAGCAGGAGGTCCAGGCAAGGGGATGGGGTGAGATGAGGAGCTCGATACACTATAGGTTCATAACGGTACGACATTCGAAGATGACGAGGTACAGAGAAACACTACCAGGAGCTTGGGATATGGCAGGGCATTTTTTATTTTTTTCTTAACGCACCCACAGCCCCTTCTATTCTGGGGGGCACCAGTCCAGTTCCTCTTCCCCGGCAAGCAAAAGAAACAATACACAGTTGACAAGGGTACCTGTTGCGGCTTCGCTCACAAGGAAACGAGGGGAAAATGGGAGAAATGAGTCGGGGTGTGGGGATCGGGGCTTTGGGGGGTTGGGGTTAAGGGGGTGGGGGTGGGGGGTGTTTTGCGACTCACCTCAGAAACCTGTGCAAAGACAGCTTTTTTTTTCCCCCTGCATTTTCATGGGGCTCACCTCTGAGATTCCTGTTGAAGCTGATCACTGGTGCGCGCGCACGTGTCGTTTTTCCTTTTGTTGCTTGTCATCGTCGTCGTCATTGGGGTAGTTAGTTCGAGGTCTTTCTCTCTCTCTCTCTCTCTCTCTCTCTCTCTCTCTCTCTCTCTCTCTCTCTCTCTCTCTCTCCCTCTCCCCGGTGCGCGCATCGTTTTTCCTTTTTTTTTTTTTTCTTTCAAGAACTCCTGATGCTCCACGGGTCAGATATCAAACTATCGGAACAGATACTACACTGCTCGTCATCGTCGTCATCGTTTTTGGGGGTAGTTAGGTCTCTCTCTCTCTCTCTCTCTCTCTCTCTCTCTCTCTCTCTGTGTGGTGCGCACGCACGTGCGCGCGCCGTTTTTCTCTTTTTTTTCCTTTTAAAAAGAACTCCGGATGGTCCACGGGTCACATATCAAACTGATCGGGATAGATACTACACTTGCTCGTCGTGGTTGCGGGGTGGGGTAGTTAGTTAGGGGTCTCTCTCTCTCTCTCTCTCTGTGGTGCGCAAGCGTGTGCACGAGCCGTTTTTCGCTGTTTTTTTTTTTTTTTAAAAGAACTCCCGATGGACCACGTGTCAGATATCAAACTGATCGGAACAGATATTACACTTGCTCGTCGTCGTCGTCATCGTTTTGACGTGTGGGGTAGTTAGTTAGGGGTCTCTCTCTCTCTCTCTCTCTCTCTCTCTCTCTCTCTCTGTGTGTGTGTGTGTGTGTGTGTGTGTGTGTGTGTGTGTGCGCGCGCCGTTTTACCTTTTTTCTTTATAGAAAGAACTCCTGATGGTGCACGGGTCAGATATCAAACTGATCGGAATAGATACAACAGTTGCCCGTCGTCATCGTCGTCGTTTTGGGGGGTGAGGTAGTTAGTTAGGGCTCTCTCTCTCTCTCTCTCTCTCTCTCTCTCTCTCTCTCTCTCTCTCTCTCTCTCTCTCTCNCTCTCTCTCTCTCTCTCTCTCTCTCTCTCTCTCTCTCTCTCTCTCTCTCTCTCTCTCTCTCTCTCTCTGTGTGTGTGTGTGTGTGTGTGTGTTGTAGCAAGTGCGCGCGCCGTTTTACCTTTTTTTTTTCTTTTTTAAAGAACTGATGGTGCACGGGTCAGGTATCAAACTGATCGGAACAGATACTACACTTGCTCGTCGTCGTCGTCGTCGTTTAAGGGGGTGGGGTAGTTAGTTAGGGGTGTCTCTCTCTCTCTCTCTGGTGCGCGCGCCGTTTCGTCATCGTTTTGGGGTGTGGGGTAGTTAGTTAGGGGTCTCTCTCTCTCTCTCTCTCTCTCTCTCTCTCTCTCTCTCTCTCTCTCTCTCTCTCTCTCTCTCTCTCTCTCGCTCTCTGGTGCATGCGCACGTGCACGCGTTGTTTTTCCTTTTTTTGCTTGTCATCGTCGTCGTTGTTTTGGGGGGTGTTAGTTATGGGTCTCTCTCTCTCTCTCTCTCTCTCCCCCTGGTGCACGCGCACGTGCGCGCGTCGTTTTTCCTTTTTTTTTATAAAAAGAACTCCTGATGGTCCACGGGTCAGATATCAAACTGATCGGAATAGATACTACACTTCCTCGTCGTCAGGTGAGGTAGTTAGTTAGGGGTCTCTCTCTCTCTCTCTCTCTCTCTCTCTCTCTCTCTCTCTCTCTCTCTCTGTGTGTGTGTGTGTGTGTGTGTGTGTTGTGCGCACACGTGCGCGCGCCGTTTTACCTTCTTTTTTTTTAAAAAGAACTCCTGATGGTGCACGGGTCAGATATCAAACTGATCGGAATAGATACTACACTTGCTCATCGTCATCGTCGTCGTTTTTGGGGGTGAGGTAGTTAGTTAGGGGTCTCTCTCTCTCTCTCTCTCTCTCTCTCTCTCTCTCTCTCTCTCTCTCTCTCTCTCTCTCTGTGTGTGTGTGTGTGTGTGTGTTGTGCACACACGTGCGCACTCCATTTTACCTTTTTTTCTTTTTTTTAAAGAACTCCTGATGGTGCACGGGTCAGATATCAAACTGATCGGAACAGATACTACACTTGCTCGTCGTCGTCGTCGTCGTTTAGGGGGGTGGGATAGTTAGTCAGGGGTGTCTCTCTCTCTCTCTCTGGTGCGCGCGCCGTTTTTCCCTGTTTTTCTTTTTTTTTATAAAAGAACTCCCGATGGACCACGTGTCAGATATCAAACTGATCGGAATAGATATTACACTTGCTCGTCGTCATGGTCGTCGCTTTGGGGGGTGGGGTAGTTAGTTAGGGGTCTCTCTCTCTCTCTCTCTCTCTCTCTCTCTCTCTCTCTCTCTCTCGCTGGTGTGCGTGGGTCAAAGGAGGGTCCTCACTCCTACGTCCCTCCTCCCTCCTACATCTCTCTTCCCTCCTACGTCCCTCTTCCCTCCTCCGTGCCACCTCCCTCCTTCGCCCCTCCCTCCTTCGTCCCCCCTCTGCATGAAACACAGTTCATTTCCCCCCCCCTTCTACCGTCCGTCCACCCTCCTTCGGCCCTCCTCCCTCCTTCGCCCCTCTTCCGCACAAATTAAGTTTCGTTTTTGTTTTTCCCTCCTTGGTCTCTCCTCCCTCCTTCGACCCTCCGTGCACGCACACACTCGTGCGCTCATTTCACAGGCCGGGCAGGCATTTCGTGCACGCATTTCGTAGGTCGCACGTTCAAGAACGGAGGAGGAGGGAGGAGCGAGAGGAAGTTTG